AGGACGCAGATATTGCTATCCTAGAAGAACCTGAGCACCTGAACTGGTATCATCATGGTAAACGCTGGACTGATAAATTCAACCATGTTGTTGGCATTGTCCACACAAATTACTTGGAATATATCAAGCGGGAGAAGAATGGGGCCTTTCAAGCCTTCCTCGTGAAGCACATAAATAATTGGGTCACAAGAGCATACTGCCACAAGGTGAGTGTCACACCTTTTTATGTTGTTTCTAATCACTAGTAATTTGTAGATTTGCTGTCGAGTCGGTTTGTGATGCTCATTTCTCATGGTCATATTCAGTGCTTTTCTTTTTCTTTGAAGCTGTTAATTAAAGTTGGATTTTGGTTGTACTGAATTTTTTCTTTTGACTTGTAAGGTTCTTCGCCTTTCTGCTGCCACCCAAGATTTGCCAAAGTCTGTGATTTGCAATGTTCATGGTGTAAATCCAAAGTTTCTGAAAATTGGAGAGAAAATCGCTGCAGATAGAGAACTTGGGCAGCAAGCATTCTCAAAAGGAGCATATTTCTTAGGCAAGATGGTCTGGGCAAAGGGATACAGGGAGTTGATAGATTTGTTGTCCAAGCACAAGAGTGATCTTGATGGATTTAAGTTGGATGTGTTTGGGAACGGAGAGGATGCACATGAAGTCCAAAGCATGGCTAGAAAGTTGGATCTGAATCTCAATTTTCTGAAGGGAAGGGACCATGCTGATGATTCTCTTCATGGGTAAGGATTTATTGGGAACCGACATTTTTTATTTCTATTCATATTATCTATTTAAATGCACTATAAGGAATGTATCATGGCTTAATTTCAAGCAGGCTCCTCAATTTAGCTAGTGAGATAAGGTATCCAAATGATTTTTACAAAGCATTAAACATTGTACATTATGAGCATTTAAGATGCCATTATTGGTATAAGATTATATTTTACCAAATAGGTTTTTAGGATTTGGAACAGATACAAAGATGCAGACTTTTATTGTTTCCTTTCAAAATGTAACCTGGTTGATATCCATATTGAACAAAGATAGACTTTTTTATGTTAGGAAGAGATTCTACATATGTATCCATAGTTCCTTATGAAAAGAAAAGAGAAATTAAATGAGGGAAACTAACCAAATTGGAATAGATTACTTGGAAGAGAACCCCATGCAGGCAAATATTCTCTTATATTCTGATAGCTATCTTGGATTCCTTCAATAAATCTATAGAAAGTGTACAACAGTCTATTCTCTCCTTCACCCCTTTTCACTTTTTTTTTTCCTTTGCTTGAAGGTACAAAGTCTTCATAAATCCCAGTGTTAGTGATGTACTCTGCACGGCAACTGCTGAGGCACTTGCAATGGGGAAATTTGTTGTATGTGCAGACCACCCATCTAATGAGTTCTTCAGGTCATTTCCTAATTGTTTGACATACAAGACATCTGAGGACTTTGTTGCCAAAGTGAAGGAAGCATTGGCAAGTGAGCCTCAACCCCTGACTCCTGAGCAAAGATATAACCTTTCATGGGAGGCTGCAACCCAAAGATTCATGGAATATTCTGATCTTGATAAAATCTTAAATGATGAAAAAAATAATGCAAATTTCAATGAATCTGGTGGAAAGATGGTTAGAAAGTCAATTTGCATGCCTAGCCTAACAGAGATGGTTGATGGGGGTTTGGCATTTGGACATCACTGTCTGACAGGAAATGAGTTCCTTAGACTGTGCACCGGAGCAATACCTGGGACAAGGGACTATGATAAGCAGCACTGTAAGGACCTCCATCTCTTGCCCCCACAGGTAGAAAATCCTATATATGGCTGGTAAGTGGATATAAAAATCGGCACCAGCTAGCTCTTTGTATAAACCATGCATTGTGTATGTAGGAGTCTTCTTCCCATAGTTACTTTCGAAGTTTTCTTTTTCTTGTTATCAGTAATGTATTTTATTGAAATTTTTTTTTGCATTTATAGATAGAGGAGATAGTGAAAGTATATGTAGTGGAAAAGAACTGTACTTTTAATTAGCTATCGGGTTTATAAAGATGCCTGATCAAGCTGAAGTAGGCTTTGATGCATTTTCTCTTGTTTTTGATGTTCGTGGTTTCTGAAAAACTCATTTGTCTGGATATTTGATCTGTTTTCTCACCCTTAAATATATGAAATGTGATGTTTACAGATTCCAGACAAAGACTTGCATAAGATTAGTCCCGTTGTGTGTTTATGAATTATTTGTACAGGTGGAGAGGTTTAGTTAGTCTATTTATAATGATCAGATTTATTTTATTTTACTTTTGTCCCAATTGCCTGTAACAATCAAATGTATTCAGATTTCTTCTTTTTTTTTTTTTTGGAACACGATGGAGAGAAACAGTTGATGGTATGCATTAGATTGAATCCTGATTGTTCGCCCGAATAGGGAAGATCTCGTTACCAGGCCGAAGTCTTGTTGGCAAGATTGACAATTGTTTTTGTTATCTTTCAGAAGTAAATGGCTTGTGGAAGCTGTGGTAGACAGAAATTTGATGATCTTTATAGTTTATTCATTTTGTTTTCATTTTTTCTAATGGAAGATGATGTTTCAATAAGTTGGATGACTTTTTCATGGATGAAGCTATGAGTTCTATGTATGCTTTATCTTTATTAGTATTGTTTTTATGTTTGATCAAAATCTATATATTCTGTGGATTAGCTGCTTTTCGATGGAGTGCATTTATTTTTTTTTTATAAAATGACAGGATATTGATTTTTCTTTTAAAATGATAAGTTTGATTTTTTTATATACATTATAACATAATTTAATCGTTACAGTTTCATCAATATAATAATAAATTAATATTAGATTTCATTAAATTAATACTATGATATAGTTTGGATGGTGGAATACTTATATCTATCTTGTTGTTTATTGCAACTGCATACAATAGTAGATAATGATTTTGATATTCAAATGTCCTTCAAGAACATGCAGACATGACAATATTATTCCATACAAAAACCCATTGTACAAAGATAAATCCCTCACCATAGGTAATAAATTTGAATCGAATTTCTGAAGTAATGTATTTTTGCAGTGCCATAACCATCGTATAATGCAAGTCGATATAGCATTGTCGAAGATTGAACATATTTTTAGACTATAATTTAGTACAAATTTTATAGTATGAAAAATCTTACAGGGCCAAAAACCAGTAGGTTTTCTTAACCACAGAATACAAAGAGAAGGAAATTTTCAAAGGGAGGAGAAGACAAAACAAATAGCTGTCCAGAGAAGTGAAAGTGAAAGTGTTGAAATTAATAAGTGGTGCATGTGATTCCCATTTACTACCATAACCGGTGACCCTTCATCAAAGGTTAATACCACTAGAATTTTCTTACTTTAATTTTTATATGTAATCCGAACCAAGCCCATACTTTTCTACTATATTATATTTTAACTAATCCTCATTTATTTTACTTTTAAATTCATCTTATACATGTAATGTGAAGATGGTAGTGGATATCTTTCTAAACCATGTTTTACAATATGAAAATTAAGTAAGTACACGAAAACAAAAGTAAAATGCAAAAGTTTCGAAGTTCTTTAAATATGGTGTCATCTCATGTTTCAAAATTTAAAATTTAGTATATGTTTATATCATAAAATAACTCTATTCAAATACAAAAGGAATGAAAATATTAATGATTCAGTTTCCTAGTAGTTAATTACTGATTTCTGTATTGTTACAACATGTATAGCCAGATAAAAGATGGGTATGTTCAAGGAGAGAAAACAATGGATGCCATTGAAAAGAAATCCTGCAAAATTTTAAACCATCTGTCTTTTGAATTGTAGCCAAAAATAACTTTATCTTCTACTGACTAAATCTGAAACTTTCCTCCTCGATTGGTCTACAAAGATACATCTTGATCATGAGTTTGATTTACTTAATTCGATCAAAAGTTAGGTTTTCAGCTTTCTATTCTGGCTTTGGCTTCAAGGTATGGCAATGCACTAGCAGGCCTAAAGGTAATTAATGGGAGACAGAGGAGAAATAAACCATTTTTACACGGGTACTGTTAGGCTGTACCCAGATCATTCATAAAGATTACATTAATTAACCTTGAAGCTATGGAATGTTCAGCTTTCCAATTAAGCTACAAGCTGTGGGATTAGAGCTACTGTTTCTCTGGTAATAAAGGTTAAAAAAATGCCTACTCACATGGGTTAATGTTCTTTTTTAATAAATTGTTATGGGTGATTATGATTATAATTATAAATGATTCTGTATCTAGTACTTAATTAGCTTTACATTCTCTGCTTTTATGTGTTAATTAATGTTGATTAATTAAGCATAGTGTTGAGTGGTAGAATTTAATTAAGCATCTTGCACGTTTGCTTTTTAGAGGATGAAAATAATAGTTTGATGCAATTTTCACGAAAAGAAAAAAAAAAATTTGTTTGAAGTGATAGATTCTGAGAATATTGTCATTAGTTAATAATAAGTGAAGCACTTATATATATATATACATATACATACATATATAGAGTATATATAGACTGATGTGTAGCTGCACGTGCGTTTTGAAGATATTTCATATAAACCTAACTTCAAATTTAAATCATTGTAATATGCATAGATACATATATATTATATCTGTATACACACACACACACACAGACGCACAAGAAAAACAGAGTCAGTGGGATGGTTTAATTTGAATCAAATCCGCCATGGTTACTCAAGCATTTACCCACAGTTTTGGTTCCAATTTGAAACTGGTTTATATTATACATACATATATATATATATATATATATACAAGGTTAGTGGTGCAGGCATTTTGTAGGTTGAGAAACAAAGTCTGTTGGCATCTGAAAAAGAAATTTTCTCCCCTTGGATCCAGGACCCCTTCATCCTTGGGCCTTATAAATAACACCCACTTGCATGGATTTGATTGTTCCTAGCTAGTGGAAAGCATTCATCCTTCCATATATATATATATATATATCACTTTTACTTTTCTCTCCTACATAATTTTTCGTTTCTTTGTCTCTGTGTATATATATATATAGAGACACATACATACACACGTACACAAATTAATTGCAAAATATTAAAAAAAAAAACATTTGCCATGGCTAGGACCGTACTGGCTGCTACTTCCTATGTATATGGTCTTAGTTGACTTATAGCTTACATCATATATATATATATATATATGTATATATATAGAGGTATATATGTATATATATATAGAGGGGGAGAGACATATCACAGCACTTCTACTACTCGACTTGGCATTTTCTAGCAATGTTTACTTATTTTATGCTTAACACATGTTAATTCAAAAAATTTTTTATTGTATCCTATTGATACTTATCTTTACAAGAGATTATAAACTTTAATTCGAATTGTATTTTTGTTGAAAAATTATGCATGTATATTATTCGATTAAGAAATATATAAATTATGAGTGAATATCTTATTTTAATTAACTTTTATAACTTTATATTTTTTTTAAATCTCTAATATAAATTTATAATTTTAATTTAAACTAGAGTCAAACATGTTCTTCCTTTTTGAAAAAAGCAAAAACAAAAGTACAAAGGGAAATTGTTTCTAATCAAGATCAAATGCAGGGGAGAGTGATTTTGTTAATACTTCTTCCCCCCTCTCCCCCCTTCTAAAATTTCTCTCACTTAGAAAATGAGAGACCCAAACATGAAAATTAATCATAAGTTCATGTTGCCCAATTTCCACATTCATGAGTAACAAAAGCTTATAACTAAATTACATGCTAATTAATTAGAAACATCAAATATATATTTACACTTCTAGTTGCTTGCCACCATGATCATGATGACCAGCCTTTTGTTTCTGAATTTCTTTACTTACAGTCTCTGGTAAATCGTGATGGTCCTTTTGTTTCTGAATTTCTTTACTTACAAGCTCTGGTGAATCGTGATGGTCTTGTATCGTAATGATAACATGTTCATCGTCGTCACCATCTAAATTAACCGGGTTAACACTTCCCCGGTGAAGCAACTGTTGTGATTTCTCAGGTGACACTGTAGCTTCAATGTCTTTAAAATGTGCTAGGTTAGAAAGTTCGTGAACTGACTCTGAAATTTTTTCGACACATTTAACGATCTCAATTAGGATTGAAGCGACTGTGGCTCCTGGCACAACTTCTAGAAGGTCGTTGGTCTCGACCAAGGCGTCACTAAGAGCAATCTTGAGGTCTTTAATGGCAGTTCTTGAGTTCTCCACATGAAGGTTGGCGGGTGAAGGGTTTGTCATTGTTTTGATTGCTGAGGATAAAGCTTTCAAGGCTTTGCTGGATTCTTTGCTCATGGTTGTGCATGGTCCTTGGACTTTACCAAGGAATTCTGTTGATCCCTGCAACAGTAATATATATAAGCATAAATATATAGATTAATTTACCGTTTATATATTAATATATATAATTATATAGTAAATTGGAAAGAAGGGTACTTTGGTATCAGAGCCGAGATAGCCATTAAGAGCTTCAATATGGTAAGCACATTTGCGAGTAAGAGCTCCAATCTTCAAGTATTGTTTCCATGGGTGACGGAGTCTGAATCGTCCATGTCCAGGTTCCCATCTTGCAAGATTAGCCTGCATAGATAGAATCATATATTAATAAATGTCGAACTACTAAATCATTATTCGAATATTGCAAATCAAGGAATTGTCATGCACTCACGAATGTTTCTTCTAAACTTTTTGAACCCAAAACACTTTTATATCCTTCAAGAAACGACTTGTCATCCTTTGATACATCACTGCAACTCCCTTTCTCCTCTGGTAATATCACTATTTCAAAATATTCACCTCCAAATCCTGTAAAATAATCAAAACTATGAATAACATTATTACATACATACATATACGTATACACACACATATATATATATATATACATATATATGTCGGTTTGCTTGTGCTAATAACGTACCTTCTAGGTAACTGCCAACCTTGTCTAAATTTGAAGCGATCAACTTGTGAAGATCTTCACCAGCCCAAACTGGACAAACAAAAATGCAGACGACCATGCAGGTTGCTCCTCCAATTAAAATTGTTGACAGCCTCTCGTGCGCCAGCACTATGATTTCGTCGACCCGACAACCCGAAACCGCCACCAGACTGAATGTCAGTATGAATATCAACACCCCATAGTCGTATCTTTGCTTGATTCTCGGGAAAAATCTTGAAAATGTCGATGCTGCAGCTGCACATGTTTTTCACGAAGTATCTTACTTTCTGCATGGCTGTTATATGTATATATGTACAGGTATGAACTATATATAAATATTGAGCATATTATATGTATACATTACCTAGAAGAAAGACAAGGGTTCCAAGAACAATGGGCTCTCCGGTCTTTCCAAAGAGACTTGCTAAGTGTTCAGCTCCAACGCCCAGAGCACCAGCTAGAAATGTTGCGAGACCTCTGTTAAGACCTTTGTTTAGGGTACCACCTGGACACACATGCAATTTACATTTGAGAAAACTTTATTTATACGTACAATATTACCGTCGGTAAAAATGGTCTTACTGTTACTCAATAACTTACCTACAGTGAATTCGAAAATAACAGCGACGGTTAAAACAGCCCACATCCCCGAAACTCCAAACCCATCATAAAGAGGCCGAGTGTAGTATAACAAAGACACTAGTGTAAGAGCAAGTCCTACTTTCAGGGAATGAGTGACTCTTCTCGGATCATCTTGCGCCAGCTTTTTCACAGCCTTTGCATTTGCCATAATTCGGATATTTAAACCGCCGGGAAATGCCTTAACCCGGCTCCAAGCTCGTTCAAAAGCCCCGGCGGCTTGCTGTTGATGACCAATATTCTCCATTGCTGAAGAAGAAGAAGAAACAGTGAAGCAGAAGCTGAATGAAACCTCTGAAGTTGGTTTTCTTTTGCTTAACCAAGAAAGCAAAGGAAGGGAGATAAGAAAGGTTATACACTAGGGATGTAACTTAGTGGTCTGTATTTATAAGAAAAAGTTGGGTGCAGAGGATGAATATTATATACATTTGCTGTGTAGTTGCCAAGAATATTATATGTATATATAGGTAAGTATATAAGCTTTTTGTGTAGCTAGAGAGAGAGAGAGAGAGAGAGAGAGGGCAAAGGATTTGTTTGATGAGAAAGTAAGTTAATTTCGAAGTGTTGCTGACTAGGAATGAATCTAAACTAAATATTTATTTACCAGAAACAGCAGCTCGTGTGATGATCATACAAAAAGGTTTTAGCCCACCACTCACTAGTCAGAACCAGAAAGTTTAGTGGGTTTGTTTTGCCCACTATCAATAACAAGTCAGACAGCCAAAGGTTAAGACAGAAATTCTTGCCCAAAGAATATTGATCTCTCTACAGCACAAATACATATATACATATATGTATACATATTACCATGAAGTAAAGGAAAAAAAAAATATCATGGGTATTCATTTTATAACTTGAACATGTAATTTTCTCAATAAAAAAAATATATTCAAATTTAATGGTCAGAATTAACATTTCATTAAGAATTAAATTTTTTTTATTTTTCAAAAAATGTATTAAGAATTGTATTTATCACAGTTCGATTCTAATTAAAAGAGTCCAAAATTAGTAAAAATAATACAAAATTATAAAATAAAAAAGAAAAAGAAAACCCAATTCTAAAAAAATTAAGTGAAACATTTGGAAGTAGTGAATAGCAATGAATTGGATCTGCAGGTTTTAGTTGAGAAAGTGGAAAGATGATCATAAAAAGTATATAATATAAATAATGTGTAGAGTCAATGGCATTGAATGTAGCAAGTAAAACAAAGTTACTTAAAATTAAAAAAAGCACTGGTGACAAGCCTTTTCTTTTCCCCTCCACATTGTTTCCATTAGAGAAAAAAAAAAAAAAAAAGATAAGGAAAAAAGCTAAATTAATTAGGTCAGAAGGCTGAATTTTCTGAAATGTTAATTAAAATGAGTCGAAGGGAGGAGAAATTTTCAGTCTTTCTCTTGAGAATTACTTCTAAGTTCCATCAGCTAAAATAATTAGGGTTTTCTACATATATATATATATATATATATATATATTTGTGTACAGCCAACCTCCTTTCATCTCCTCTCTAAAACATTTAATATTATAAGTATATCTTTTGATAACAGAGGTCACGAACTAGCACGATAAGTTATATGTAATCAATATTATATATAAATAAGTCGATTTACGTATATATATATGTACAGGACCAAGCTTTGTTAATAATGAAAAGAATTGAAAATTCCTCTCGCATTCAATATTTATAAGTTGATTAATAATAATAAATTAGACATAATATCACATCAATTAATTATAATTATCAAATTTATGAGTTCGTGTAATGTTCTGGTGTGTATTTTCATTTATATATTTTATTTTTGTAATATTATAGTTGTTATATGTATATTTATCTTATAAAGTTTGGTAAAATAATACTTGGTTGATGAGCAAACTAATTATTTTAATTAATTAATCAATTAAAGCAAAGGTGACGATCCGAAGACATCCCCAACAAAACTTAGTGTTCAAAGTAGTTCTTAACAGAAAAAGGAAAAGGAAGAAGTATGTCACCACTGGTCCACTACTATTCCCTGCAACATATATATATATATATATATATATATATATGTGTGTGTGTGTGTGTGTGTGTGTGTAAATATATTCAAATATATAATTCTAGAAAATGGTATGCTATACATATATAATTAATTAATTGGATCATAGTGACAACAGAATGACAATGGAGAAAGGTGAAAAAGACAAGAAGCAAACAAAAACATGACAAAATCCTCAGCACCCCCACATCATCTTCTTCCTTTTATTATGATAATTACAGAACTCTCCAATCTGATACCAAACATGATGATACGATCCATGATCGTCGTTCATTTTTTTTTTTTACGATTATACTATCTTCTTTAATTTAATTATAAGACGAAAATGGAGATGATCAAGACTTGATGTTAATTACCAAAAGAAGCAAAGTCCATACTAATCTAACCATGTTCCTTAGCTTTTGGAGTTGTTCTTCTTCATGCAAAACTAATAAAGCCTACACTATCATCACTACTGCCTACCAGCTAGTTGTGCATGTATATACATGTACATATATATGTGTGTGTGTGTGTGTGTGTGTGTAAATATATATATATATATGCGAAAATAAAAATGGGTAAGTTCCTTTTTCTGCTGGGTATTCATCTCCCACTAAAAATATTTCCATGGTTGCCATGTAAATCCAGCAACTTGCACAGAAGTTGAATCAAAAGGGAGCTTCATGGATGAGGGAAACAGCAAAGCATGCCATTTTCAAACTTCTACCTTATGATTCTTATCCACTACTCAATTTCTCTTTTTTTCCTCTGCTACATATATATACACACACATGACCGTACGTAGATATGGAAATTGCTGAATGGCCAAAAGATTTCCCACTTGAAACCCAGCAAATTTTTGGTATAGTTTGTTCATTTTGGACTTTCTTTGATTTGATTTTGTTTTTGATTTATAAATATACATATATATATATATGTAAGCAATAATATGCTACAAGATATAGAATATATGCCTGCTGCCTCATGATACGTATATAGTATGTGAAATTAATGTTCTCTTTTATATATATATATAAAATATTAAAGACATATTTACGTGTATATATATGTCATTAGTCCTTTCTTGAAGGAACCACATTCGATTAAACTGCTTGTATAATGAGTGATCATGTGCCTTATCTGGATTTGGAAGATTATTTCAACTGGTTATCAGAATCTTTTTGGACCCTTCATAGAAACTGGTAATTTAAATTTAACACTCTTTCTCTCTATATTAATGTAGAATATGTTAAAGGAGTTGCAGACTGCAAAAGCTATGTATACATGTATGGTAACGAATTTCATACTTTAGGTATAAATATATACACACATCTGGAACATTACATTACAATTATATACATATATATATATATATATATAGAAACTAGTTGCACTGCTGCTTATATAATGGCTGATCAAACCGATACTGAGATAATTTCAAGTTTACGGTAAAATCTAAAATTGTCTTCTAAAATATGTAAGGTTCAAAAATATATTCTCATTTACTGGCGAATAAATCTTTAAAAATCATATTTAATTTTAAAAATGTAATCTTTAACGAGAATATAACATTTTAATTTGAAACTGGTATGTGGGTTTGTGTGTATATATTTATATATATATATATATATATATGTTTACATGTATCGTTAATTTTCATTTATTTTACCCGTATATCGTTATGATATTTAAAAATCAATTTTAGTTACGATATTATTTGTAAAATAAAATTTTTTTTAATACAATGTCCTTTCCCTGTATTAAATAATTTTAGCTTTATGTCTCCTTGAAATACAAGACCTATATATATATATATATATATATATACACCTATATATATATGCATATAAACAGAGCCCTGGTCATACTAGCTTCCCAGCCTTGTTCACCTAATGGGCCTCATGTCAATTAGAAACCCATCGAGCCCATGTCTCTGTTGGCCCAAATATTTTACCAATTCCAGACCAATTTTTTCTCAGGTCCAATCAAAGATAATTATTCACCACAAATTATAGATATATATATATATATTCTCGCGGTCTAGTTGTGATTTGAGCAAATTATAGATCACCAACAACAAGGCCCACTTCAGATCTGTCGTCTATCAATTTCAAATAAGGCCCATAGGCCCACATAAAAGGGTCCAAGTTTTGGTGGACCATGACATATAATATATATATATATATATACACACACACACACACAAATACATACAAGTACTTTCTCCTTATGTTCATTTTCACAACCTAGGACAAATTGCTAAGGTACATAAACATACAATACACATACTTTGCCTAAATTGAGCTCAGCATTAATTTAAAGTGTTTGCACCCAGAAGTTACATCAAATGAAAGTTAGCACATCTTATATTATATTATATTATATTATATCATACTATACTAAAATATTATATTATATTATATTATATATGTCGTGTATGTTCATTGTTTTCAGTACACATATTTGACATTACCCACTTGTGATATATAGATAAATTTGTAGCATGAGAGCTAAAGTGGAGAACAACCAAAAGGGAAAGAGATATATATGTAATGGGGGGGGTTTTGGAGAAAAAGAAAGAGATAGAGAAACATGTAAGATACCATAATGCTAATATATATATATATATATGTGCATAATATGTATATGTATATGTATATGTATAAGTATATGAATATGAAAATGGGAATCTCATGATTGAACAACAACAAAGCATACAAGTATTGAAAAAGGAAGGAGAGAATTAGGTCCCATTGATTTATCTCTATCTCTCACTCTATCATTGTTTTAAAACTCTCAACACAACTTGTCTCCTGGGCCAACCTCACTTGACTCTGCCTTTTTTTTTTTTTTTTTTCTTTTTCTTTTTTTTTTTTTTCCCCCACCAATATAATTATTGAACCCATTGTATCATCATCATCATCATCATCATCATCATCATCATCATCATCATCAATCTCCTACCATCTTCATTGAATTTCAATTTTTACTCACAGTTTGATTTCACTTCCCAAATTCAGCTGCACACACACACACACACACACATATGTACTTATGTACTTCCATTTAAGTGACACAACCATGTTTTTCTTCTCTAAAAAATGAAACCCTTTTAAGTTCCTCAAGAAAAAATGATACCCTTTTGATTAAATTACAAAAATATTTTTTTAAGATGTATTTTTTTTTTTTTTTTCAAACGGTATACATTTAAATTTACATAAATTGTTCAAAAAA